AGACACAGGAGAGAAAGTTTCTTGAAAATCAATCCCCTCCTTTTGAGTGTAACCTTTAGCAACCAAACGTGCTTTATATCTTTCGACGTTTCCATTTGGGTCTAACTTGGTTTTATAAACCCACTTGCATCCTACGGGTTTTACCCCTTTAGGTAGTTCAACAAGTTCCCATACGTCATTCTTTCTCATAGAATCAAGCTCATCAATCATAGCTTCATTCCATTGAGTGGATTGGTCACTACTAATGGCGTCATTATAAGATGTAGGATCATTATTTTTCCCTATATCCAAGTCAACTTCATTAAGATAGGTTATGTAATCATCAAAGTTAGTAGGTCTTCTAGACCTCGATGACCTTCTTAATGAAATTTCGAGTTCTTGAGGTGGTTCAGTGGTAACTTCAGGGATTTGTTCCTCTAAATTTGGAACACCTTCATTTATTGGCATATTAGGAGCAATATTTTCCTCGGGAGAGGCACTAGGTGGGCAAATGTCATTTACAATAGGTGCAATAGGATAAAGAGGTAATGAGGTTATTGGACCCTCCTCTTGCACTTCTTGTAAGTTGACAACATGATGTGTATTGCTCCCACTAATGTTAGAATTTTCTAGAAATTCGGCATGACGAGTTTCAACTATGCGAATGGAATGAGATGGGCAATAGAATCTATATCCCTTTGATCGTTCGGGATACCCTATAAAGAAACAACTGACTGTTTTCATGTCAAGCTTTCTTTGTTGAGGGTTGTAGAGCTTAGCTTCGGCGGGACAGCCCCATACTTTCATATATCTCAAGCTCGGTTTTCTTCCCGTCCAAATTTCATAAGGTGTTTTAGGAACGGATTTAGAAGGAACTCTATTGAGTATATGGACTGCCGTTTTTAATGCCTCGGTCCATAAGAATTGAGGTAAGGTGGTGTTTGCTAACATACTTCTTACCATGTCCATGAGGGTCCTATTTCTTCTTTCAGCAACACCATTTTGCTGAGGAGTACCCGGCATGGTAAATTGGTTCACGATCCCATGTTCTTTACAAAACTCAAAGAAAGAGCCAGGAGCTTGACCAATATCAGTATGTCTACCATAATACTCACCCCCTCTATCTGATCTCACTACTTTTATCTTACGGTCGAGTTGATTTTCAACCTCGGCCTTAAAGGATTTAAATGTGTCAAGTGATTCAGATTTCTCTTTAATTAAATACAAATACATATAACGTGAGTGATCATCTATGAAAGTGATAAATGACTTATGTCCAGATATTCCGGCGGGAAAAGGTCCACAAATATCAGTATGTATAAGTTCTAATAAATTAGAACTCCTTGTGGCGCCTCTTTTATTTCCTTTTGCCATTTTGCCTTTAAGGCATTTCACACATGTCTCAAAATCATTGAAATCGAGAGTTGGTAAAACTCCATCTTTCACGAGTCTCATCATTCGGTCTCGTGATATATGGCCTAAACGTTGATGCCATAACATAGATGAGGTTTCCAAATCTCGTTTTCTTTTATGTAAATTTTCACTTACATTATATGACAACAATGATTTTGAGAATTGGTCATCTAGGTCTAACTTATAAAGTTTTCCATCCAAATAACCATAACCAATAATGTCGGAATTTAAAGTAATAGTGACTTTATTATTACCAAATGTTACATAATATCCATCATTATCTAACTTATGTACAGATACTAGATTCCGAGTCATCCTCGGTACATAAAGAGTATCATATAACTTAATACAATAGCCACCTTGCATAACTAATTGCAAAGTACCTACGGCTTCAACATTTAGATCATCACCATTGCCGACTTTAATGGTTCTTTGGTTTCTTTCCAGCCTCCGGATTGAATGGAATCCCTGTAATGAGTTTGTAACATGTACCATAGAACCAGAATCAACCCACCATGTGTTTGTGGGAACATTAATATTAAAGGACTCATAAATCATAAATAGATGATTACCTTTCTTTGCTAGCCACTCCTTGAATTTTGGACAATCTCGTTGGCCATGTCCTTTCTTATGACAGAATTTACAACGAAACAGGCCCTTAGGAGCGGTTGAGCCAGGAGTTGCATTTGCATTTGTTTTCTGAACCTTTGAACTTTCTCCAGTATTAAATTTGCCTTTCTTTTTCCCGGTGTTTGTGGTTGTGAGATGAGCAACATCGGGTTTTTCAATCTTTAAGCGCTCCTCCTCTTGCACGCACATGGCAATGAGTTCACTCATTTGCCATTTGTCATTTTGAGTGTTGTAGTTTATTTTAAAAGGACCAAATTGTGCCGGAAGAGAGGTCATAATGAAGTGCACTAAAAAACCCTCACTAATTTCCATGTCCATGCCCTTAAGCTTGTGGGACATGTCACTCATCATCATGATGTGCTCACGCACACCACTCACACCATCATACTTTGTAGTCAACATCTTCAGAATCAAAGTACTCGCATATGCCTTGGAGGTGCCTTTAAATTGTTCTTCAACGGAGTCCAAGTATGTTTTTGCATTTTCTGAATCCGGTATGGCTCCGCGAATAGCAACCGAGATGGAATTCTTTATAACCATGAGAGACATTCTATTTGACCTCTCCCACTGTTCATACACTCGTTTTTGTTCTTGTGAACTTTGGTCAGTGAGTGCAGCGGGAGGATCATGCCTCAAAGCATAGTCTAAATCCATCATTCCAAGAGTTAATTTAACGGCATCTCGCCATGACGCGAAATTAGTGCCGGTTAGAGGTTCAATCCCATAATTAGGACTTAAAGTGGATGCTGGATTATCACAATTAGAACATATAAATTTTAGAAGAACATAAGTGAATTGAAACATATAGGGCAATCACATAAAGTAAGCAAAACAACATATTGAAGATTAAGTCTATTACTAACACCAAAAATAATAGACTAAACTAAGGTCCTACTTGAGTGTTGGATTTGCGTTGGCCATATCCAATACTCAAGTGCTTCGAACATTTTAATAAAAAAAAAACGCCATATGATTATCGTAAGTCACCTTTGGGTGAAAATTACAACAATCATGTTAATTAGGTTTGAAAATAATTTTATAATATGTGTAACTTAACGACTCGCCTTTGGGTTTGTCATTTTGCTACACATACCTCAAAATATCATGATAACTTATTTAGACTTATAAAATATTTAATAATTTCTGTTGGGATAATTACCTAAATATGATATAAGCATCAAGTCATTAAGCCATCAAGCATCATTACTTATAAGAAGTATCATTACTTATAAGATACGTGATATAAGTAATTTTCCGTTGGGATAATTACTTACATTTAAAATTTTGTTACGGTAATGTATGTACAAATATTTATTAAGCTTTTTCATACTCAGTAAATCCTTCATTTTAGAATTAAAGTTCTCATGTAATTTTTCATATAGGTTTCGTTAATATTAGACCCAAATAAAATGAAATTAAGCATAGGAATCAAACGTGAGTGCATTCAGTCATTATATTTTAATGGAAAAATTAAATTCAGTGATGTCTCCAGTGAATCAAATTATACATTATAATCATATGTGATGTCAATCAAGTCCACTGGAACAATTTTAACCATAAATGGATAAAATCTCCACTAAATTTAACTTGTTAATATTTTAAATGATCAAACAAAAGGTAATAATGATAATAATATATCACAACAAACAAACAAAAATAACGAAGCCATTCACCGACTCCTACGCACTAGATTCTTTCTTATTATTAGCAAAAATTGGTTAGGCCAACAGAAACGAAAGTAAGGCAACGTGGAGACGAATGATTTCAAAAGATAAACGATGAAAATAATAACGGGGCACAACAACAACTTCAGCCCGTTCGTTCATCTTTCGATCGCCAATTATGAAGAGATTTTCAGAAACCGGAATTACGGTTCTTAATTTAAAATGGTTTGAATCGATTAAGAGAAGGGCTCTGATACCAAATGTTGGAATTAATTAACAGATCAAATTTGTAAGAATCATCTCTAACCAAATCAAACACAAGAAATATACCAAGTGTAAGAATAGATTTTCTTACTTGGAGGAAAGCCTGACTTGATTGAGGATGAAGAAGTCATTTGATTCCCGTTATGATGCCTTGGGTTATGATGGTGGAATGTATCGTTAAACTCCCAAGGAAGTAGAAGGTGTTATTTTATAGCCCCTGGGAATTCTGATAAGAGACACGACTAATCATCGTATCTTTCTATTTAGACACAATGAATAGATATGTCTATTCATAATTAATTAAATAATAAATTAATCATTTAATTAATTAATTAAAAGGCATCTAACGGAAAATCAATTATTCCCTTTAATAATAACAATTACTCCCATCAAGTAATGTTTAGGTAAACTATGGAATTTCTAACGTCATGTTGGTATAATTACTACAACGATAGTAATAATTAAATAATTATTGTAAAATGGTCCTAAGGCCACACATAAGTGGAATACATTCCAACATATCCCTCATATTGTAGAACTCTGACTACGATATATTTTCACCGGAGAGATGTGTTGTATTTGGAAAGAAATTATTAGATTTAGTAGTCTGTAGTCTCTTAAAGCTCATCCATCAACATATTTTTTAAAAGTAATAAAAACTTTCTTAAAGTTTAAATAGACATTATATAAAATTACAGCTTAGCTAATATTTTGAAATGTTATTTTAACATCTAAATCTATATTGGCAGATATTTTTTCAAGAGACTACTTTATCTTCTTTAAATTTGTTTGTGCAGATGCTTACTTCTATGGTTTATGTGTAAGCATATTCTACTTTAGTTTGTCAATTGTAGGTAAAACCAAATATCGAATCGATAAAGTTCAATGCGCAAGTAAAATAAAACGAATCATAAAAAACTGAAATTGAACTCCAAAAACGGAACAAAACTGTAGTTGCTTAGTTTCGGTTTTGGCTTTCACCATTGAAAACCGAATTGAACAAATAGAACTTGAGAAAACTGTCAAATAAGTAAGTCCCCCTACTATATCAGAAAAGTCAATGAAACTCTTGTACTTTGAAAAGACTCAATTAAACCCCCGAACTTCAAAAAAACGTTCAATTATGTTTTTTAGCAGGTCAAGGACCGGTTTTCTGGTTAACTGCTCACGTGGTGTCCCACGTGGCTTTTTTTTCTTTTCCCTTTTTTCTCTTTTCTTTTTCTCTTTCCTTTTCTTTTTCTTTTCACACGCCTTCCTTCTTCCCGTTCGCACAGATGAGGTTCGCAGGAGGAATTCAAGGTTTGCCCTTGAACCCCCACCGCCAAAGCCTGCGGCTGCCACAGCTGGAAAATGTGAGGACCATCTCCGGGGACTGCGGCCTCCATCAATGGAGTTGGAGTTCGCCGGATTATTGGTCAGAGTGAAGTGAAGGTGCCTGCTATGTGAAGTGAAGGACAGAACCGCGGAAATGGAGTGGAGTGGAGGGCTAAATCTGAATCCTGTGTGAATTTCAGCTGCTCATTGCAGTGAATTCCGGCGGCTAATTCCTTTTTAGCCGGTAATTTTGATTTATTTTTCTTTTTTAATTCTTTCTTTACTTTTTTCTTTTTTTTTTCTTTCCTCCAATACGCGCCGGTACGCCCATTTCCAACATGAGGGGATCAACCTTAGCTTGTGAACGACAGTTCCAAGAGTGAGCAAACTACGATTTATGTTACAGCAAAATCAACAAAATTCTGCATTTAGTTAGTTAGCATGCAGGAAGGGGCAAAATAATAAAAAGTTGTCTCTCGCAATTCAATAGTTACGTACGTAAATTAAGTTTTTTTTGTCATTCCTTGTCCAGATCGTTGAAATCTGCCACACTGACACGGCACGTGTTATCAGGATGTAAATCACGGTGACCTAGTCAGTGAAGTGGCAGTAGGACCATATACTCGTACGCGTCAGAGATTCAACCCATTTCAGAAGCTCCACACGGTCACTGCGGGATTCGAACATTGATCTTTTGATTCAAATTTCCCACCACTCAATCAACTAAGTTACCGGTGCGGGTTCTACATTGTTTTCTGAGATCATTCGTAGAAGACCGAGTCTCCTCCCTTGAGTTCGCATATGCCTGGCGCACGAGTTTTCTTCTCCATTTAGACAGTTTTCAACGATATGATCACCGTGAATCTAAAATCATTTATTCCTCTAGTCTGATCTACCTTTTCCTCCTGACAGAGATGATGTATCCTCATATAATCTGACCATCCCCTCACCTTAACGGCACACAAAAAAACGGAATTCCGGCAATTTCCGATGATATATGGCTTTTCTTTCGGTTAGATGCTAACGTTGAGAATGTTCCTCCGGCGAATAAGGTTCACTAGCGATGAAACCGATCTGAAGTGGCCTTCATCTTCCATTCAAGATATTGAAGGAACATACTAGGAAGATCGATGTAAAAAAAGGATAAAGGAGTAAAGAAAAAGGAACGAAAGAAAATCCAAAGAAAATGAAAAAGACAAAAAGGAGCAGAAAAGAGTAAAGAAGAAAAGGAAAAATACCGGTGGACGTAGCTCAACTGGTAGCATCTGCATCTGCGATGAGAGGTTACTATGCTAAAAATGCATAGGGCATCTGCAAGTACGGGGACGGAGCCCCACTCTCTATCTGTCGGATTGGGATTATAGTCCAATATACATCCTCCCAACGTACTGTCCGGTTGAGGTTGGGGGGCCCTCAGGGATGGGGTGTAATCCTTTTTTTAAGAAAAGGAAAAATGAAAGAATATCAAGTAATTGCCTAATGACCGGTTAAAATCGGCCATCTTCATGTAAATTGGCTCATGTGATTGGTTTTGTGTAGAGTAAAAATGCTTATATGATGTTTATTTTGGTACATGGGTTTATATGATGTATTGATAATTTACACAGGCTTATTTGACCTTTTCCTTAAATTAAATAAACACTTATATATACACCTTAATCTCTTGGCATAATACCAATATGTTGGTATTTCAAGTCGTCATTTATATTTTGCTTGCTGTTGCATGAAAATGATATTTATTTGTTATATTATTAGTTAATTTTGTTTGTTATCGTGTAAATTTTTATTTTTATTACAGAAGAAATGTGTAATAATCTAAACTATACCTTAGACAACACAGATTATTTATCTATTTTCAAACTAAGTCCACAATGTGAAACTTTATAGCATATATACCTGTATCTAGGGATGGACTCAACTGGACAGGCCCGGCCCGGAACCGGCCCGACCCACTACTGTGCGGGCCCAGCCCAGCCCGGGTATGTGTTGGGCGGTTCGGGCTTTGAACTGGCCTGATCGGGTAGGGCGATTCGGGCACGGGTCAGGAAAAAAGCGAACCGGCCCGGCCGGTTCGGGCTTGGTCCGGGCCTAACGGCTCTTTTTAAATTTAAAAAAAAAACTTTCCAGCCAAACAAGGCCTTATAGCCGTTGCATTCAAACCCAAACGCCTCTATAGTTGTTGGGAAGCTGCCAGGGGGTCCCGGGGTGGGGGTGGGTGGGGTGGGGGTGGGGGTACAAAAACTCTATAAATACTCCATTTTTCTATACAATTTACTACACATCTTCTCCAAATATTCCTACTCTCTAATCTCTATTCTCTACTAATCTTCTCCATCTTCATCTTCTCAAATTTATAACTACATATATTATATTTATAAAATCTATTATCTACTTATGATCTACTTATATTAATATCTAATTATTATATTATTGTTATTTAATTATATTTACATATTACATATACTTAATATATACTTATATATATTAAAGTATTATATATAAGTGTATTACTCATCTTATAGTAATATACTTATATTATATATACTATAAACATAATATTATATATTACTAGTTAATCTACTTATTATCTACATATAAATATATCTACTTATACACTTATTATCTACTTATCCAATAGCTTATACACTCTCACACTCCCATTAATTTAGTTTACACACTCATACATTCTTTATTAACATAAAACTAGTTAATTGTTTCACTTTTCATTTTAGTATTAGTTCATTGATATAAAAGTAGTTAATTGTTAGTTGTTAGTTTATTGGAAATAGTTACATTAAAAATTGTTAGACAATAATTCGAAATTAATTGGTTAATTGTTAAACTAGTTAATTGTTACATTTCTTAATCTCCTATAATACTAGTTAATTGTTACATTTATTATTCTCCTATAAAACAAGTTAATTGTTACATTTCTTATTCTCCTATAAAACTAGTGAATTGTTACATTTATTATTCTCCTATAAAACTAGTTAATGTTACTGATGAGTATATGGTCCAGGAACCCCTGGCCCATAGACTCCTACTATTCTAATAGAGACCCAATAGGCCCAGGAAGCACAGCAGGCCCAAACCACGGCGCCCCAAGTACTAAGCAATCCACGTGGCGCACTAGGGGTGCCTTCGGCCCCCTGGCCGAAGGCTCCAATTCTCACAGGATGGCCAGATCAGAAAAACAAAGTTACTGGGAGAAAACGGCGAAAATCAGTAGCCCTCGGCACCTAGAGCCCTCGGCACTAAGGAAGTCCCCGGTACTCAGAGCCCTCGGCCAATCCTCTACAGCCGAGGGCACCTTTTCCGACATAATATTCGCTCCACATGCGCATGGATCCCCGTACCAAGTACGACGTCACATCCAACAGCCGCATTAAATGCGGCCACATGCGATTGCCAGCGCCAACCAGTTGAGGTGACCCCTCGGCCAATGGATGCTTGACATGTGTCCTTGTCTGGCATTTATTACTACTATAAATAGCACCCCATTTCCCCGTTGTAAACCACACACGAAAAAGACTCAACTTACATATTCAATACGCTTTCTCTCTCTTACTTGCTCTGACTTCTCTCTAGTTATTCCCCGTAATAACCCCTCGGATAAGCTACCCCCCGGGTATACTATCCATCAGTTACATTTATTATTCTCCTATAATACTAGTTAATCGTTACATTTATTATTCTCCTATAGTACTAGTTAATTGCAGGGGTGGCTTTGAGGGCAGTTGGGCCAGGCAACTGCCAAGGGGGCCTCCAAAAAATTCTACTCCGGTATTAGTATTAGGTGTTATTCGCAGATTGTCAATACACCAAGCGGCAACTGCAAGAAGAAATCAGCTTCATAGTTTAATTTTGACTATCCTTCCTTCATCAAAGTTGTAGCTAATGAAGTCTGCTATCCAACACAATTTGCAAAACTTCATTTGAATCATCCAATCAAAATATATGAATAAAATGGTGGAAGGTCGCATTCTGAAATCTCAACAGAGATTATCTGACTTCATCGTCTGTTTTCACCTTGCTTCTCTCAGATTCTCATGATGGTGTCTTCATTTGATTTGTAGCCCTTGAAATTGGCTTTCATATGAAACTTGAATCATGTTCTTTGGATGTTCCTAAGAAAAGATATGCTTGAACGATTGACAGAACGTCATCCTGACCGTTGTTTTCAAGCTCTATTCGTCTTCTTTTGATCTCGTAGCCAATTCTAGAGCTCTTTTATCTTCAAAACTTCGTCTTTAACACCTCACTAACCTCCAATGCTCCTAATCAACTCTAAAATGCTTCTCAACTCGTCCCTATCGCTTCTCAAACACCGGTGTCAGGCTCAAATTCCCTGATTTTGACTCCAAAAATACCAAAACTCGAACCAATGGCCGGTAAATATGACTTGAGCTTAAAATTGAGACTTATGACACCTTAAAGTTAGGAAAAAACTATTAAAAGCCAATCTCAACACGCATCAAATGCGTGTCGAAATACGAACTTATCAACGTTCAACACAGACCGCTAATCGGCTACTGTATATATGCCTCACTGCCCGCCGTCAACATGGGTCCTTGGTTAGTGAATCAACTAAGACTCTTCAGCTCTTTTCTCTAAGTCTCATTCTTGAAGTCACTTAATACTTTTTCAAGTACAAGTTTGTCTTGTGTTTTGCATATGTTTGCATTTAAAAATTTATCCTTTTGAATATTACAAACATTGTATCGTGGACTTTGAATATGCTTTTTTTCATAAGGCGATTTTTATTCAATTTATCTGATTTTAAAAGTGATTTGTACATAGTAAATATTTTTCGTCTGGGGCCTCCAAAATGCTCAAGCCGCCTCTGGTTAATTGTTACATTTCTTATTCTCCTATAAAACTAGTTAATTGTTACTTTTATTATTCTCCTATAAAACTAGTTAATTGTTACATTTATTATTCTCGTATAATACTAGTTAATTGTTACATTCATTATTCTCCTACAAAACTAGTTAATTGTTACATTTCTTATTCTCCTATAAAACTAGTTGATTGTTACATTTATTATTCTCCTATAAAACTAGTTAATTGTTAAACTTGTTAATTAAAGTTGTTACATTTTAAAACAAATAGTTTGAATTTTTACATTGCATTATTATTTAATTGTAGTTAAGTTTATTACATTGTAGTTGCATAGTTCGAATTTAATTGTATTTCGAATTGTTAGATTCGTATTTCAAATTCACTAGTTTAATTGTTCTTCGAATTTAATATTTGTTATATTTTTAAGATGGAACGTGGTAGAGCTTCTATAGATATGGGTAACCTCCACCGCAACCGAACAAAGGAGATTGCGAGGAATCATCCAAGGTCACGCAAAGGTAATGGAGGGGCCGGATCTTCATCTCAAACCCGAGATGATTTTGATGCGGATTACAACCAAAGATATGGGGATGCGATGTCCGATGAGCAACTAGAACAACTATTGCAACAAAATCAAGGGCAATTTTTCCATCAACAAGACATCCCGCAAACCATTGACGAAGAAGAGCTCGAGGATGATGATGCGAAGGAGGGGGGTCCGCAAACGGTCGAGTACGAGGTTCATGGCACACCAGACGATGAGGAAGAGAAAGCAGAAGTGGCTACTTCTTCCCAAGACGGTGAAAAATAGGAATCTGTCTTTAAGGCCAATTTTACAAAAGTTAAAGACCTCGAAAGCGAGATATGGTACGCCACTTGCAAGCATTGCAACAAAAAGTATAACGTGGAAATTTCTGGAGAGTACGGGAGCGTCACAAGGCCATCTTAAGGCCAAGCACCCGGCGGAGTATGCGAAATTGGACAAAGGCAAGGGAAAGTAAACACAAATTTCAAGGTTTGCAACTGGCCAACCTTTCGGTAATTTCTCCTATGATGATAAAAAACATTTGACTGGTATGTTTCATTTAATTGTTGAAGAAAATTTGCCATTTATTTTTTTCAAAAGTCTTGCTTTAAAAGAATATGCTCAAGGTACGTTAAATCCTCAATTTCAAAACTATAGTCGCAAAACAAATAAAAAAGAAGTTATAAGGCAATATGTTTTGGAAAAGCAAAAATTAAAAACGTTTTTCGCAAACTTTGATGAACGTGTTAGTATATGTAGTGATATATGGGAGGATACTCATCATCATTTATATTATTTGAGTGTGACTGTACATTATATTGATGATGATTGGTGTATGCATAAACGTGTTCTTGCTTTTCGTGAATTTAATGATCGACACACCGGTGATAATATTCATATTCTCATTGAGTGTATTTTAATTGAGTATAATTTGATTAATAAGGTGTTTGCTATTGATTTTGAGAATGCTACTAATAATACTGCTGCTATTCCTAGATTGCGTGAATTGTGTGGTTCATCTTCTTTAATGGGTAGATTTTTTCATCAGCGTTGTGCATATCATATTTTAAATTTATGTGTAAAGGACGGGCTAGCGGCGTTGGGAGATG